TACAGAAAGGTGGGGGGAACCTTGAACATGCAGGATGCACCTTGCAAAAGACACATTTTTTGAATATTTATTTGGATGAGAAAGAAAACTAATTAATAAAATTGTCCTAATCTCAAATTAACATTCAGTGCATTAACACTCAGAATTCTTTGAGGAGTTCAGAGCGCTTTGAAGATCCTTTTTTTCTGACTGATTTTTGGCAGCACAGACTTGATCTTTGATTTCCCTGCAAAGATTGTTTTCTGAGCTGACATCTCCGAGCAGGGATCTGGCAGCAGATTGCCGCTGCCAGCTCAGGAGCGTTTGCAGGAAATAGAAAGGATCTCTCTTCCTAAACAATCCTGCTTTATTTATTTTTTATTGGTCTGTTAGCAGATGTTGAAGTAGTTCAGGGCACAATGTAAACATGTGCTTTTCAATGGATGGTAAATAGGAAAGTGCACAATGAAAGGAGCGGTCGGGAGGGGGTTTGCACCGGGGCACAGGGGGTTTTGTGAGGTTTTTGTGTGCGCAGTTGAATTCAGAATTAAAAGAAGTGCTTGATCTTTCCCTGTTGAGCCCCTCGGTGCGCGGAGCGGCGGCGTGAGCCCGGCCGGAGCACCGTGGCCCCATGTGGTGCCAGAAAAGGAGCAGCACTTGAAGCGCTGTGAAGTTGAAAGGGAACTGAGCTCCTTGTTCTGGGAGGGGCAGTTCTGGGGGGCTCCATTGAAGCGTGGCAGATGCGCCCCGGCCCCACAAAAAGCCCCTTGAGCGGGAGCGAACCCGGCCCCGCGTCCGGATCCTGGGAAGCGCCCAGGGATGAGCCCCGAATGCGAGCACAGAATTGTGTGCTCTGCTTTCAGCACCCCCCTTAACGCCGGTGGCAGCCCCGTTTGCCAGGCAGCTGAAATGGCCCATTAGCTATCAGGGAAAATTGTCTTTGCTCCTTTCAGCAGATGGAGCAAATATTTTACAAAGCAATTTTACATAGGAAAAACATTTGTGGGAGGCGGTAATGACGGCTGTTTGCCATGATGGGACCTGAGCTCGGAACATGCTTTTCCAACTCGGGGAAGGCACAATTGGCACTTCTTAATTTTAAAATTTGCAGTTAACAGTGAAAAGCCCGGGCTTTAAATCAGGTGGCAAACTTTAAGCAGATAGAGGGTGCTCAGTGTGTCGCTTCCAAAACCATTCCCGGTTTTATAGATCTCTCCAATTGTTCTGTTAACTGTGGTGCTTTGTGCTTCTGGCCAGGGTGGACCTTTCTGAATTAAGAAAAAAGTGTCCAATCGGTTTAATTTGCAAAACAGGAAATAATGGCAGTTATTTGGACATCGAGGCAGCAGTCACTGCCTTCTCCCATGGTTGCTGGTATCCCTGAGAAGATCAGCATTAGCTGGGCTGGCCCAATTCCCATGCAGGCAGCTGGAATAAGTTATCCCAGCTCCACTGATCACAAGAGAAAGGATGTACTTATAAATGGGAGGAATTGTCATYGTGCCATCCAAGTGGCATAAATTGCCCCAGCTTCATTGACTGCAGCACAGTCATGGCAGTTTGTATTGCTCAGGAGCTCTCTGCTGATTTTATTCCTCTCTGGCCCACTCAGCTTTACTTATTTGGAGTTACTTTCTTCACTCTATTTGCTTGCAAGGTCTAAATAACTTCCTTTCCTTTCCAGCTGATTTTTAGCTAAAAAGCCCTGGGTCTTTCTTATGCATYCTGCTCTGCAGCTTCTTTCTGTCCCCAGGTCTTTCTTCCTATTTCTGTTTCTTCTCCCCATTTATTTACTTCTCTTCTCAACAGGCTTTTCTTTGCTGACTGATCTGTCTCCAGCAGGTTTCCTATCACTGCCTTCAACATCTGCTACACTTGGTCCTTATTTTTTGTTACAACTGCCTAAGAAAACCTTTCAAAATTCAWCTTGCAGAAGGGTGAGAAATTATTTTTCATTTAATGGGAAAAAGTTGATTTTTTTTTTGAGTGCTTGTTCATCATTATAAAAAGGTGCAAAACCAATTGGGAGAGATGTAAAGATTTCTACATGTATTTGGGCTGCTCATTTTTACTGCTACTAAGAAGCATCAGCTGAAAGATTTGAACAAATGCTCCCTGTTTCTGTTGAGCCTGTGATCCTGGATTGTTTTGAGCCACATCAAGAGATAAAACTCTGGTAGGCTCTGCTGGAGATACTGTCCAATTTAAATGAAATTAGCCAGCTGAGCACTGATCCTTTTAAAAGGTTTGACTTCATGAGTGAATGTTGGATCCAGACTGGAATTTGCCTACTAAAACTCCCTATAATCAGGATTATGGCCTTCTCAGAGCTTACAGTTGCAAAAAAACTCTAACTAAAATTCCAGGTGCTGATCCTTAAAGAGGGGTTGCCTGACTCCCTGCTGTGAACACCCTGATTATCCAGGCATTGTTCAAAGCACAACCTTGACTTGGAGCTCAAGGGAAGTTGGTCAGATTTTCTTGTATTGATTTTTTTGTTTAAAATCCTCTTTTCTTTCTGYCAGACAGCTGGGTTTGGTGCTCATGCACTTCACAGTCACAGTGCTGAGAGTGCCCCTGGRTCCCTGGAAGTGTCCAAGGCCAGGTTGGATGGRGTTTGGAGCACCTAGGGAAAGGTGTCCCTGCCCATGGCAGRGGTGAAATGGGATGAGCTTTGAGGTCCAACCCAAACCATCCCAGAAATCTGTGATTTGTTGTCCTAAAGGAACCATGCCTTAGACGTGCAAGAGGAAAACTCCAAASGAGAGAAAAAGTCCCTTGGAAGTTCTCCCTGATTTTGCACCCAATTTAGTACTTTCTTCCCCAGTTATGTGTGACCCTCCAGCTCTGTCTGAAAGGAGATCCAGCTCGGAATTGTTGCACTGGATAGTTGTGTCCCAGCTCACGTGCTGACAGTTTAATTGTTACTTACACAGGCTTGGGCACAGCACTCCCAAAGCCTCCACATCCAGCAGAGATTCCTGTTGGTTTTTTTTCCCTGTGATTTATCAAAAGCTCTCAGGGAGCCACTGCACACCTCTTGCTTTGTTTGTTTTTATATTTCTGTTTAAATTGCACAACACTCAAAGTCAGCAGGTCCCAGGGATGRGACTGGGAGCTGCTGGATGCACTGCCAGCTGTGAGCTGTTTTGTAGGACAGCAATTCCAGGCCATCCATCATGGCTCTCATCCTCTCTCCAAAGCCACGATTATTTTCCTGAACCACCTCAGCCTGTTCCTTGTTGGCTCAGCAATAATTCAGCACAGACACAAACCCACACAAGGCCAATGGATATTTGCTCACTGCTCCACTGGTTCAGTCAGCTGAGCCACCCAACACCCAAATTCCTCCTTACAGGTCCTAAGGAAATTATCAAGGTAAGACCTGAATTTGGGTAAATTCTGAGCTTGGGTCTCATGTTTTATGTGCTCCTTTGTTTTTGCCATAAGGTTGTGCTGCTTAACGTATTGATTTACTGATTAAAACAAATTTTAAGCCTTTTTTGGTGATATTTTTGAAGTCAACAACTCAGTTTTCTCATATAATGTGCTGAGACCTCCCATAGCTGAGATCAGCATCACCATCTAAGCACCTTGATATTTTTAAGGCATTTTTCCCTCAATTSCCTGTGAGGTAGGGACAGCAATTGCCCCCCTTTCATGGCTGGGCAGCAGGGGCACAGATGGGAAATCCCTTTCCTGAAGTCTCAAGGAGACTAGAGTGAGGACCAGGGTTTATCCAGGTTTTCTGTATGCAGAGTTAATCCCTAATTGCCCAGCTGTCCAGAGAAGCTGTGGCTGCCCCTGGATCCCTGGAAGTGTCCAAGGTCAGGTTGGATTGGGCTGGGAGCACCCTGGGCCAGTGGAAGGTGYCCCTGCCCACGGCAGGGGTGGAACTGGATGAGCATTAAGGTCCTTTCCTTTCCAACCCAAACCATCCAGTGATCCTGATCATTGCTCCATCCTCCTCATTCCGATAGGTAATTCACAGTAAACTGATTTTGACTTTGCATTTTTGGTTGCTTCACATCATGTGCTCCATGACAAAGCCAGTCTCTTTCTTCAAGCTCACCATTCTGGGAAAAYAGCTTTCATTTTTTATTTGCTGTCCTTAACTGTCAGCCATGAGGTTTCATCACATTTCTCCAGAGCCTGAGAGGAAATGATTGTGGCTGAGGCCATTGGCAGGATCAGAGGAGGGGTGGTCATCTGCTGYAGGGGTGCTGGGGAGAGGGGGTGTAAAACAGAGGCCAAAAGCCCCAGGGGAGCAGGGRGAGGCTCATGAAGCAGCAAGAAAAGGAGCCTGGAGCAATCCAGTCAGGGTCCTTGCAYTTTATATGCTCGTGTTCTACTGGGACTTCGGGGAGCAGTAAAAGCAGCGCAGTTGCTGCCTGTATTTAATGGGGCTGGGCTGTGTGTGTGATAATAAAGAATTTAAAACTAGGAAGAAAGCTGCTTTAGCTGTGGAATGACTAATCAAATTCCACCAAAGACACAGGCACTTGGGGATTTGGTACAGTTATTTTACAGATTTTAAAGGATATCTCCTGCTTTAGGAATGCTTTTGCTTGATTATTCCTATCTTTTTTTTCTAATTAAAGGGTATTTAGATTGATATAAGAGCTGAAACATAGAACCAGCAAAATTATTGCTGGCATATGTGACTATTTCAATATGCTGCTTCAAAATACARGCAATGTACAAGTTATTGACTGCTGGTATTGATCCCAAAGCAGTTACCAAGTACTTGGCATTTTCAGATGCCAGATCCAATTATTGATATAAATTATAATGCAAGAGATGCTGTGCTGAGGGGGAGATGGGCTTTCAGAGAAGGACAGTTTGCAGGAGGAGGGAAGAGGAGCAAGCAGCAAAATTAAAAAAGGCTTCCTGAGTGTGGGTAAACAGTAACCACATTTTTTTTTTTTTGCCTGTTGGAGGCCTGGTTTTTAATCACCCCACAAGCAGTTTTCATTTCTGTAGTAAAATTGCTTGTGGTTCTATTTAATTTGTTTCTGCAGGAGCTAGCTTTGGTGAAGATCTCCCAGGAGCTGCCGGGCCTTTTAGCACAGCACGTACAGCCAGTCAATGAGAAACGATTCCCTACATGGGAAAAATTCCTCCAAACATTTCTTACTCAAGGTAAATAAGACTGCAAAGTCGCTGTGAAGTGTTATAAGGAGTAATTATGCCATATTGTCTGCCATATTCTTGTTAGTCTTGGGCCCATTTAAATATTTATCTCCTTTTATTTCTCCATTATGCTTCAAATGTTCATTTACCAATGAATTATAGGCCACTGTTCTGTCATTCATTTGTCCTATCCAAGCTTTTAACCCATATTAATCCTGGAATCTGAATCTGTAAGCACCAGCTCCTAAATCTTTGGGTGCTGCACCAAAGGCTATCCCATTTAGGAAGAGGGAAGAGGCTTCAGGGAATTCTAGCTCATGAGTTCCATTTAGGTGAATGTGAGAATATTTCATATATTCCTTTATGGAAGAGACAAGGATGAATCAAAGCTTTGACYGTGTTTTTCTTTTTAAATGCCACTGAACACATCTTGGACCAGTTTTATTACATAGTGGTTTATCCCAACAAATGGGGTTGTGGCATTATGTGCAATGAAAAGGCAAATCCAGTATGCCAAGCAGTTCTTATGGTGGTTTTCCTTTGGTAAACCATGCTAGAAATTGTTCTTTCTCTTGGGGATAAATGCCACAGGCAGACTCTTCTTTAAGACAGTTGTAGGGATGRGAGTCTCCAGGGATCAACCCCTCAGCTCACAGCAGGAGCTCCCACTCCTCCCAATCCCACCATTGCATTTCCCAGCTCTTCCGGGCCTGGTGTTCAGATGGATTCACTTCTCCTACCCCCAGAACCTGTTTCTCCAGTCAGCTGTGGCATTTATCCCGTTTGGAAGTGGGACTAGAAAGCCCCTGATTAAACTCATTTCTCCTCAGGACATCCATGGTTCGGGCTCTGCTGCTCGCCTTCTGTGGGTTGATTTGCTGGATCTCCACAGCCATCAGCCCTGGAGCTGMTGGCTCCATCCTAGGCACTCCAAAGGGCAGCACTTGTGGATTTGATTCCAGGCTGGACAGATCATTCCTTTCTAATTCCAGGTGGAGTGATTGAAGCCTTCCCTTTCTCTGCCAGCATCACCAACCTGACGGTGGATCTGCTGATCGAGCCAACGGGGGAGGTGACAATGGTGTCATCTGGAGACCAGCTCCACATTGAGGGGCCCCTCAGATCTTCTGGCACCATCATYCCACAACGTTCCGTGGATCCAGAGGTTCTTAAAGTTCTCAGCTTGAAGATTGGGGAGGCCTGTAAATCCAAAGGAGTGCTTGGCTACTTCTCCATTGATTTTGTGGCTTTCACCCATCCCCAGACGAGGGAGCAGCAGGTGAGTGGGGCAGGTTTGATACCTAGATCCGGCTCACCTAAGGCAGAGGCCAGACAAAATTCAGAGAATCCAAAGCTGTTCTGTTCATTGCAGGGCYTTCAGGTGCATTCAGGGCAGTCCCGGCCCTCCAGGGGCTGCACCCACAATGGACAATGGCTCACTGGATTTTCACACTTTATCCAGGGGGATAAAGGGGCAGCCAGGGATCCAGGGGCAGCCACAGCTTCTCTGGGCACCCTGTGCCAGGGCCTCCCCACCCTCCCAGTMATTTGTCAGCTCTGGAATTGAAATCCCAGTTATGTTTGACTCTCCAAATGAATGTACACAGGCATTGTGATCAAAACTCTGGATAAGCCATATTGGACAAGTTCCATGGAAAGTGCTTTAAAAAGATTAAGGGATGACATTCTCACCCACGGAAGTCCATGGGAGTTTTGCCAATTGTTTCACTCAAGCCAGGTTTTCACTGAAATTCAGGAATGCTTCCTGGATTATTAAGGTTGTGACATTTCCTGGCACAAACAAGGACATATTAAATCATTTAGTGATTCCTGTGACCTCTTAGAATTCCYGTCTGTTCCATCCTGGTTTTCTTCCCTTGTTTTCAGGTGATTTTACCTTAATATTTCCTGTGTTTGACAGCATGTCCCACAACTTTAACATTGTTTAAGCACAGGTTTTTAAATTTAACTGGATGTAGAGGCAATTAATGAGGCCATCTGTCTTGGGAGAGAGGGATCACACAAAGGCTTGTGTTCCTGAAAGCACCGTTTTTTTGGCAAACAAGAAATCCTATTAGACCCTTGGAACATTTGCTCACTCATTTCACAAGTGCTCGCTTCAGTGCAGTAGATGGAAGGCTCAGATGCATTCCCTGGAAGTACAGGATACTCAGGAATTCTTTCCAAGTATATTTTACAGGAAATACTGACCTTTGGAGCATCAGGAGCAAAGGGACCCGTGATGGATAAGGAGCAATSTGTGTTGTCACACACAGCTCAGTGGGAAGACACAGCCTTGGCTGCCACGAGCCTCTGGGTGTGAGATCCAAGGGGCAGGGAAAGCTGGGAATTCCCTGTTTCCCTTGGGAATCTGTTCCCACTTCCAGGCCCCTCATTCCTGAGGGAAGGGAGATGGAGATGCTGTTTGCTATGTCTTGGCAAGGAGGGAGGGAAGGGAGATGGAGATGCTGTTTGCCTTGTCTTGGCAAAGAGGTAGGGAAGGATTTGGTGCAGAATTTGGACTGAATCCCTCACTTTATTTTCGAAGGTGTTCATTGGAAGCAAAGCTTTGACCCCTCAGAGTGAAACCCTGTCCAGTGCTGACTGTCAGATCCCAGCTGGGAGCTGCTTCCAAATAATCCACTGAATTGTGTGAGAATTTTGAAATGCATGAACTTCCTTACATCCACAGCCCTGTGGATGGATAATYTGGAGAAGCTGGACCCCAACCACCTTTTCCATGGGTTTGATGGCTTTTACAYAGCCCCAACCTTTCCCAGCAGCTGTGAGGGAACGTTGGATAAATTTTGGGGTTTATTCCTGTAGGTGCCTCAAGGTCTCTGCAGGCAATGCAGCATTTTCTCTGTGCTCTTTTCCAACCAGAGCCACACTGTTGTCATTAACCATCTCCCAATCCTATATCCAGCGGGACAGAGGAGTTGTAGAGCCCTAAACCCGAAGTTTTTGGGTGAGCCCGGYCCATCCCAGCAGCTGCCACGAGATGGCAGCCGGCTGAGAGCCTGCCAGCACTGCCGGCATCGATTCTCGTGCAAATTTTAAAAGTCATAAAAGACACTCTCTCTCCAACGGCCCAGTTGCATTAATATTTCACTAAYTGACATTTTTACAGTATCACTCAAGCACTCCTTTAAAAATAGCACGGGCGCTCTTTACAATAACGCAGCCGTCAATACCAGCCTCGGATAGAACAGTTAAACACGAGAAAGAGAAGCTGTAATTTAGTAACTCTTTAACAATTTATGTTTCCTTCCCTTCTCAAGTTGAGGTTTTAAAGCTGAACACTTTTATGGAAGTTGTAAAGAATTCCAGCATAATTGTGACTTTATTCACTCGAGATGTCTTCACCACGAAGCGCCGGCTCTGAAGCTGTGTGTGCCAAAGTCAAAGCTCCTGAAGCACATAATTTCTTGGATAAACAGCCAGCAAGTCTTGCAGGATTATATTTCTAACTCATTTTTTTCCACTGCTGGGATTCTGGAGAGTCCTAATCTGTCCTCTGCTCAGTTTGACCTAAAACCAGCYTTAAGTCTATCTAAAATCTTAACTCTACCTTCTACCTTTGAAAATCAAATATCGGTTCTAGACTCCTCTGTTCCAATTTAATTTCTGAAGAAAAATYCTGAAAATCCCCCCATTTCAGGTGAAAACTCCTTGTGTTCTGCTAATTTTCCATTGAATCCCTATGAGGATTTGACATCTACAATCATAAATATATATGTTTGTGAATGTGCCCTCATTGTAATGCTCAGAAAATGAGGATGGGCTCAATAATTTTTGTTAGTGTGTGGGATTTGTTAGTCTGTAGGATTGTTTCATTCTTTCCTTAACCTTCACCTTTGCACAGGCCATCTCCCAAAATCTCCTGATTTGCTGGTGGAGATGATGATTTACCTGGTCAGACTCCTTGTCCAGGCCTCGTGTTCTGTTCTCCCATTTCTGTAGCAGCACAAAGGGGATTTAAAGGGCATTTCTGGGTTTCCATGGCAAAAGGGAATCCCCTGCTAGGAAAAAGCTGGAAAATCTCGTGCCATCTGATCCTTGTTCCTTTCTCCCCACGTTAGGGATGTTCTGGGACACGTCCAGGGCAGGAAGGGACACGGCCACAAGAACGTGTCCTGAGCCAGGAAAACGATCCTTGGGGGTGATCCCAGCTGGCACGGAGCAGTGACCATTTGGCTGCTCTGAGTTCCAACRGGGGTGGTTCAGCCCCGGGCTCAGGGATGAAAGGAGGTGGACAGGTGGCTTCCAGCCATGTTTGCCTTCCTCCTCCTCCTCCTGCTCCTCCTCCTCCCCACACCTTATATAGGAAAATGTAAAATATACAGTGGCTTTACCGAAGTAGAGCATGAAGCTTAAGGAGGTTTTGGAGCTCTCCTTTGGTATAGACAGAGAAGGGGGTGAACACCTTCCTTCATCCCTCCTATAAATCCAAACTTTGAATTTTGCAGGAAACAGCATCAATTGGTCTGAGATGATGAAACTGTGTCCAAAATCTATTTTATCCCCTCTGGAAGCAAACAGAAACTCCTTAAACCCATCATTGGTCAATCTCATGATTTCCAGCACAAACCTTGCTCTGCTAAAAGCATTTTCTGTTCTTCCCTTCTCTCACAGCCCCTTCCTTGGGCAAGCTGGAGCCATGCCCTGGAGCAGAGTATCCAGGAGAACTCCTGGGAATGTGCCAATGGGCACTGGAGCCAGGCTGGCATGCTGGGGCTTTGTTTAGGTGATGTGAAATGGATCACACAAGTAATTAACAGGTTTTTCTCTACATCTGCAATGAAAACAATGTCACCTGCATTAATTGTAGTCATGGCCAAGGTGGGATTTGGTGAGGAGCTCCTGCACACTCTGCATGCTGCCCCATACCTGGCAGGGTTTCTGTGAATGCCTGGGAGGGTGGAATGGATTTATCTACTGCTTCTGGCTGCTTTTCTAATGTTTTATCTGTGGTTAAATCCTCAGCCCATTCCCTGCATTTTGCCAGGACCCTGCTCTGGTCCTCACTTCAGTCACAGAGATGTCTTTGCTTAATTTTTTCTATGGTCTCCCTTTAGTCCATCTTGCCTGCTGCAGCTCTGTTTGTGCTCAGCAAAGCTTCCAGGGGTGGATTTTGTGGTCAGGTGCAATATCAGGGTTTGGATCAGGAGCAAACAGTTCACCTTGGAGCAGTGAACAGCCCCCAGATATCCAAGATTTTCAGTCCCTGGCTCCCTGATGTAGCCCTGCCACCTCTTTCTGAGGGCAAAGTTTTAATTGAGAGAGTAAAACCCAGCTCAGACAGGAACTAGGACATAGTGACACAGATTTGTTGGTAATATTKATCAAAATTAATGTAACACTCCTACAGTATAAATAGTTTATAATTATTATTTGGCTCGTTGGAAAGGTTAACACATACTGGGAAAATACAAATGCACAGTGAAGTTCTTCCTGTCTTGCAGAAGTGATGATAAACAATAAATTATTGAAGAAAATTAAGTATTATAATTGGGGAACATTCCCCTATTACTAAGTAAAGCCAGYCATTAGCATCCAATTTGCATTTTAGACCATACAGCAGGAAATATTTAAGTTGACAAATAGGATATTTAATACAGCAACAGATACTTGGCAGTTCCATATTAACAACTGTTACTGGGGTGATTTATTCCCCATTATCCAAAGGGCATTACTGTGTGCATATGATTCCGAAATGAACTCCACTTTTCCAAGAGGCCTTGGCTGCCTGACCCCTTAATATCCTTATAATGACTCCATTTACCATTCCAGGGCTTAGGCAAGTTGTTCACTGGGAGATTTGTTTTCAGGGGTGCACTGTAGGGCAGATATTGGTGTGTGGGAACATTGCTCACCGGCACAGTCTGCACAGGGATTTTTTTAAGTGGGAAAAACTCCTGGGAAAAGCAAGCTCTGGTTATTACGGTGGAGGAGSCTGGCAGAAGCAACCCATGGTGCTTCCCTCAGCCTCATGAGTCCTGCCTGAAGAATTRTTTCTGAAGTTACAGAAGAGTTCTGGTTGTTTCTGTTTGGAAGTGGTTTGTGGAATCACAGAATTACAGAATGGTTTGGGTTGGAAAGGACCTGAAAGCCCACCCAGTGCCACCCCTACCATGGCAGGGACACCTTCCACTGTCCCAGGRTGCTCCAAGCCCYRTCCARCCYGGCCTTGGACACTKCCAGGGATCCAKGGGCAGCCACAGCTTCTCTGGGCACCTGTGCCAGGGCCTCCCYAYCYTYAGAGGGAAGGATTCCTTCCTCACATCTTTATCCCAACYCTGCTCCAGCACCAGGAAGCCAAAAGCAGGAATGCCAACACACAGGACAATAAAGGCGGAGCTGTTCCTTCAAAATTGCTGAATTTTACTCTTCTTCCTGTTCTTTTGAATTTATATGAATGCTCCTCTTTGTTTTGATAGGTGTGGGCAACAGACCTTGACCTTTGCTACAGTGACCAGCTGKCCCTGACTCAGCTCCTGTTGTACGTGACAGATGGAAATCTGGATTGTGGCTCCAGCCGCCTGCAAGGACCTYCTGGATCCAAGGGAAGCCAAAGCCAACAGATTCAGCATGAGGAGATAAAACCTGTAAGCATTAATTCTCAAAGAAAATCATTCATGTAACTATAATAAATTAATCTGTTCTAGAGGAGCTGAATCTGCTCCTTTCGGGTTTTAAACTGCTCCTCTTGGATTTTACAAGGTTAATAAATCATGAGATAGCATCACAGTGGAAGTTAAAGTGAAACAATCCCGTCCCTGGTAGTGTCCAAGGCCAGGYTGGACAGGGCTTGGARCACCCTGGGATAGTGGGAGATGTCCCTGCCCATGGCAGGGGGTGGCACTGGGTGAGCTTTGAGATGCCTCCCACCCCAAACATTCTGGGACTCTGTAAAATGGGAAGAAATGTCYTTAAAAAGGTCAGCAAAAGAAATGGATGTCTCTGTGCACACACACATGTGGGTAGAAAACAAAGGCTGTTTGCCATGTTTTGACAGAGGATTCACAACTCCCTTTATTTCCATCCATAGAGGWGGGAATGTATCACCATTCCAAAAATGTCATGGAGCTGTAATTTAGAGGTTAACGAGCTCTTGATCCATTGTTCTCGTCAAGCAACCACTTTGAGTTGGAGAGAAGTAAATTAGATCTGATTAGTCCCAGTAGTCCAAGTTTTAGAAATGAAAAGTAATCAAGTAGCAACTTTTTTTTTAATTAAAATTCTATCAGAATTAACATAAATTGTCATTGTATCCTTTATTTTTAATTCTTCCTGTATTTCTGCRATTTTTATCTCCTGAAGAGTTAACTACAAGACTGCAGTCTCCCAGGAAAARGGAAAAAGAAACAAACCAAGAGACAAATGTTTTTACAGCACATGATCTGTAATGAATGATTAAGTAAAACACTTTGTGTAAAATTATGATGTTAATAATGATTCTGTCCCTTTTAATTTATTAGATATTCTCCATGCTGGTAGGGTTGATTTTGATAAAACGGAGCAGYGCCGGAGTTTGTGCGGGGATTTTATTTTTAGAACTCCTTCTTTGAAAGAACAAATTTCCTAGATACTGCTGCTCCTGTAATTATGTACAAAACCAATCACTCATTATAGTTAGGATACATTATCTTCTAGACAGATGAGGCTAAATAAGCAACACATTAATAATTCATCCTGCAGTTCATTATGCATGTGTATGCATGCTTTGTAGCTGAAATAAGCACCTCATCAACCTGATGCCAACCCTTAAACAATAGTTCTGTGTTGTTGCAGCCACATTCAAGTTTACGCTTGTTAAACTGCTGCTTGGATTATTTTATCAAGCATTCATTTATTTGTGGTCCCCCACTGCAGAGAACAGATTTTGGAAGCTCCTTTTTTAAGTTAATGACTTGAGCAGTGGGTGTTATTAATTCTCAGAATATTATAAACATGATTAATTTTCAGGCAGAGATGTATTAGATCGGGATTTCAGCTATGTCAACTTAAATGAGTCAATGTCAAAACAAATATCATTTTAGGGAAAACACTGTAAATTACACGCTTTGATGTGCAGTGTCCCTGCTCCCAGGGAAGTCCAGCATTAAAAACACCAGGAAAGCCCTRGCTTAGGAGAAGAGCTCTGCTCAAGCTCCTCAAGGCACCATCTCTGCTCTTCTAGCCTAAGCATTGCTCAGAGATTAAACTCAGTACATCACTGACCTTTATCAAAGGGGGAGAGAGGGCAAGGTCAGATGGGATATTGGGAAAAAATCMTTCCCCGTGAGGATGGTGAAGGCACAGGGTGCCCAGAGAAGCTGTGGCTGGATCCCTGGAAGTGTCCAARGCCAGGMTGAACAGGGATCTCACACAGCTCAGTGACCACCAAAGCTGTGCAAACATCCAACTGTGCTTTATAAAGAGCAGTTCTGTTGATCTGATCTGTAACTACATCTGATGTGGAGGTGTCTGTGTCCAGCAGACCCTGTGAGGAACAGGAATTTCTCCAAATGGAGTCTTACTCCAYACTTCCATGAGTTCGCTGGCAAAAAGCCATTTGTAGAATCACAGATTCCCAGGATGGTTTGGGTTGGAAGGGACCTTAAAGCCCATCCAGTGCCGCCCCTACCATGGCAGGGTTCACCTTCCCCTATCCCAGGGTGCTCCAAGCCCCGTCCAGCCTGGYCTTGGACACTGCCAGGGATRAGGAATCCAGAACTTCTCTGGGCACCCTRTGYCAGGGCCTCCCCACCCYCCCAGGGCACAATCCTTTCCCAACATCCCATCTACCTCTGCCCTGTGGCAGTGGGAAGCCATTCCCTGTGTCCTGACCCTCCATCCCTTGTGAAAGTCAATAATTTACCATGTAGACTTTGGGTTCTGATACAAACTGGTGTGAAAATGAGGAATCCTGCATTGTTTCCTGCAGCCTGGCCCAAGGAGCCCCTGGTGTGCYGTGGCCAGCAGCCAGCTGAGACATTCCAGCCTCTCAGGGATCTCCTACAACCTCCTCCTGCACACGTGTCAAGCTCGTGGGGTTGGGTTTGACCTCCAGGTACAAATGGGGAAAATGAGAAAATGGGATATTCACTCTGGAGATTTTTTGTGTATAAATTCTGATATGGTAAAACCACTTAGAGCAATGTGAATCATAAATCATGGAATTATTTGGGTTGGAAAAGGCTTAATACCATCCAACAATCAACCCACCATGTTCACCACTAAACCATGTCCTTAAGTGCCACCTCCACCTATTTTTCTTTCAATTTAAGTTTTTAGGAGTGAATCTGCTTCTTGATAAAAATAACTGTGTAAGGAGATAATCTTTAAGACTCTTTTGACCATCCCTTACTGCTTTGGGACAAATATATTTGCTGAATTTGCTGTTGTATTTATTGTATTCTCTGCAATAAGTTAGTGTGATCTACTTACACTGAGCAATAATTCCTTCCACACAATTCCAAACTAGCCCTCCTTAGCTATGTGTGTGTACTCACTGTAACACATTTATTACAATTACCACTATTTTAGGAATAAATAAAGCAACTTTGTCTTTTGATTTAACAGGAAAAACAGGGGACGGTGTTTGTGTTGTATGAAGACCAGAAGAGACACAGATTGGGAATGCTGTAAGTGCGGGCTGTCCCTTCCCCAGGGTGACAAACAGCTGGGGACACACTGGATGTGCAGGGAGTGACATTGGAGGGTGCCAAAGGCAGGGAGGGAATGAACAACCYGAGTATTGTGACTCAGGGTCACCAACTGTCACTTCCTGCTCGCACAAGTGCACTGACTTCTTCCAAGGTCAGCCCTTGGGGAAGTTTTAGGGAGGCTTTAAACATTTTGGTAATAAAAGAAGGACAGAAATGTGCTGAGCCCAAAGGCTGGTGGCACTGCAGGCTCAGGACCTGCTGGAATTGGCTCCAGGAGAGCTGGATTCCCTGTCAGGAGCAATCTCTCACACGGATTAGCACAGGCTTACTTTTACAGGCAGCATTATTAAAAACCTGACTTACATGAGGCAGAGGAAGGTGAAGTTTAATGTCTTTTTATATTGTTCTTCCCCAAGTTTCCTGCCAAAAGAGGGTGTAATAAGTGAGGAGCTGAAGCGTTCTGCTCTCAGCCTGTTCTGTATTCCTTTGATGCTGCAGCTATTTCATTAATGACCTGGATAACAAAACAGCTTCTTCAAGTGCTGGATATGCCTGCAAGTGTTCTGGAGGGCAGGAACAGAATTCAAAATGATCTCCACAAATTGAAGGAATAATATGAGGAATAGAATTAGATTTGGGTGGAATCAAGTGCAAGAAATTACATTTAGAGASCAGTAATGAATGCGAGGAACAAGGTGGTTTTGGGAACGGGATCTGTGAGTGAAACTGCCTGCAAGCCACAGTGTCATGATCTGTTGGAAAAGGTAAACTGTATATCCTGGGAAATGTTGGAAGAAAGCCTGCTGTTCTATGAGAGGGAGGCAGTGAAAACGTTTAGAGTTCTAGAGAGCATGATTGACATGGAGAGACTTAAAGAGAAGGGGGAGGGCAGAAATGGSATCTATTAATGATCTCCATGCACTGCAAAAACCTCTGCAGGAAGGTAAAATCTGATCTCCACGGTTTTGGTAGTTGGAAAAGAAGAAAGGAACTTCACTTGCAGCAGAGAGGACTCCTGTTGAGCATCAGAAAGGYTTCTGATGGCGAGGGAAGTGAAGAACTAACAAGATTGTTCAGTGCCATCAGCACTGACAGCACCGAGGAGCAGATCAGACAAACCTGCCTCAGGGTGATGGCAGCAGCACTGATCCACCCTGCWCAGGGAAGGGGCTAAATGCATCCTAAAGATCATTTCTGGAGCCATGATTGCTTCAGCCTGCCCTGAGCTCCTGGGCATGAGGGCACAGGGAGCAGCTGAGGGAGCCAGTGTTGGTTAAAGTTGAGGTTTCTCTGCTCTCACAGTGGAGGCAGCCCACGGGTGAGCTCTAAGATACCTTTGAATGAAAACCACTGAAAAAGAATATCYACAAGAAACATTTAAAAAGTGATTCAGGTCTCTGAAAGTATCCCATAGGCTGCTAAACCGTCCCAACAGCTGCTGCTGCTGAAAGGTGAGTTCTTTCCTTCCGTGATCCCAGYTACGGAACCTTCCTCCCTCCTGCCCTCCCTTCCAGCTCTCCAGGAGCTGATTCAGCTCAGGAAATCAGCAAAAATCTCTTTTATTGGACAGAACAACACCTCCTGCATCAYCAGCTAGAGTTGGCAGTTATTAAGACATTACCAAATACTCTCAAATGTCCTTTCCCTACATCCCGATCCCAGATTTGTCTGCCATCAGATTTTCAGTGCAATTTCATAGTCTTAATTGGGAAACACCTTCAACATTTAGGACTTAACAGTTAGGACTTACAAAATAACTGAAATACCTGAAACATCTATGAGAATTACCCATTTYATTGCATCTGAGATCTGTGGTTGATTCCAGTGAATGAGGTATGTTATTCCTCAGTGTAATTCCCTATTCCACAGGGGTGGAGAGTGTACCACTGGGAAACCAAAGCCCCAAAAGGTACAACAATCTAAGGAATGCTGATTCTGACGACATTTATTTCCCAAATTYCAGGCTGAAGCAACAGCTTTTCCCAACTAATGTGGGTGTTCCAAGTGTTTTGCTGTCTCAGTCAGCAGTAACCTTTCACTTGGAGTAGCTGGAACCTCTCTGCTTACTTCTGCTAAGTTGATTAATAAAAATTATTTATTGCACAAATCCTTTCTGTTGACAAGTTAAAATGGAGCCTCATCTTTCATATCTCCCTGAAGATTTTCACCTTGTGAGATTGAAAATCCTCATTAAATTCCATCACCAGGCAGGCACAAATGAGAGAGCGATTGTTTTTAAGCATGTGAAGGGAATCATTGGTAAACTCATTTGTTTGGATATCATTAACAGAACAATCGGAGACGATCTCCAGGGGGTCCTCCTGACCTTTGCTCGCAATCTCTTCATCATCCATCAAGAAATATCAGCACCTAATATGCAAGGCGAGACCAATTTTAAGGTGAGGTGTTAATTAACTAACGATCCCGGTTAATTTCTGTACAAGGCCTGCAAATACCTCATGCTGGATCATAAACAAGTGCTAAACCATTCCTTTTTTATCGCTGGCTGTGGGTGGTTTACAGTGTCTGGGTCAGTGTAGTCGGTCTCCCACGGAACCCGTTAGTTAAATTTAAGTTTGAAACTTTTTCTTTGAAAAGAGACATCCTCGAGCGTGAAGTTATTTGTAATCTAATGCTCCCCAGTGTCCTTTGGAAGAGCAAAGGAGCTGTTGGCACTGCCTCACACAGTTCTGTCACAATTGCCTGCTTTATTTTAAAGGGACACCATCAAGGTAAGAATCTTAAATTAGAAACAAATTTCTCAGTTGATAATAGCTGCTGAGATTATTAACACTGATTTCTTTAAAGCAGCCAGCCACCGAGTACTTAATCCATTCGTTCCCACCCTCATCCCACCATCCATTTCCCAAATGGATTTTGTTCCAAATTTTCTCTGCTCTTTGAACGTCCCCATTCCTGGAGTCGGGGAGGCAGGACAAAGCACAGGGGCTGCTCACCCCGGGGAGGTTCCTCCACCTTTCCCCCGGAGCTCCTCTGCGCTGACCTCGCTGCGAAAGGAGCCAGGATAGCAATAATGAATCCAACCCCGTGCCCTGCAACTAGCACTCCTCACAATGCTGCTTTTTGATTCCAGAGAATTGCTCAGCTTCCCAGAGGGGCTGCTTCTGCTGAGCTATATCACCTTTAACTTTGTAAAAACTTTCCAAGATCCTGTCTCTAAGTGTTTTGTGAAAGGTGAAGGGGAACGCTGTGTTAGATTTGTATCTTAAGTCAKGTCACATACTTTATATCAGATTCTTTCCACCCTGACTAGATTTTTCCCCTGACAAGCAGAGTGTGAAATGACAGATTTTGGGGAAGACATAATTAAATTTCAACATGTTTCAGAATAAACAACCAAAAAACAATTCCCGCTTTTCAACATGAAGGAATGAAAAGCAACCACTGAAGAAAAATATAAAAGAGAASTTTTCTTCATTGCGAGTTAACATATGTGAAATAAAGCACCTGTTATTTAATTAGGAGTACAAATTGTATTTTTATTTACCTGAGATTTGTACATATTTGCTAATAATTCCCCCAAGTGTCCCCACAGTAATAGTAAATTTAATTGGTGCCTCCTGTCCCATGTAACCCTGTTCAAYGCAGGCACTGCCAGCTGTGCACCCTGGCTGCTGGATTCCATTATAATGCCCATTAAATAACTTGTATTCCTTGAATCTGTTGCAGATGGCAATTCAAGATATTGAAGCAATTCTAGGAGTTACAACAGAAAACAAACTGAAATTGGAAGAAGAGCAACCTTGGGAAGCAGATGCTGTGAAAGAATAGTTAACAGAAAATGTTTAAGTGCCTCATTCCTTATGTTTCTGGAAATGCTTCCTCATCTGTAAGAACAGGTTTGGTTTTCCTTCTGAGTTGGTATGTGAAGTAACATTAACTGAGACAGAACATCTCCATGATTCCTGGGTGTGGCATTTGGAATATCTATCCCACCTTTCTTGTTGAAAGGTGGAGGATCATCCTAATGATCCTCATGTTCCTGTTGTCATTCCTGAAGTTCAGCATCTGGGTTAAAAATCTAATTAATGGGGTCACACCGCCTTTGTCACTGACTCAGAGCAGAGGATCAGATCCACAGAAGAGCCCTGAGAGCCCAAATTCCCTTTCCAGAAGTTTGTGTTCTGAAATCCAGGCTTCTGGCAGGAAAGGGGGTCTGCTGTTAGACCTGTTGGAGTGTCCAGAGGCCACCGGGATGATCAGAGGGATGGAGCAGCTCTGCTGTGAGGTTGGGAGAGCTGGGATTATTCAGCCCCAAAGAGAAGCTTTAGGGTGACTTTGTAATGACCTTCCAGGACCTGAAGGGGCTGCAGGAAAGATGGAGAGAGACTGTTTAGAAGGACCTGGAGTGACAGGACAGAAGGGAATGGCTTCAGACTTGAAAGAGATTAGGGTTAGTTTAGATCTTGGGAAAAAAATSCTTCCCTGTGAGCATTYTGAAGCCCCAGAGAAGCTGTGGCTGCCCCTGGGTCCCTGGCAGTGTCCAAGGCCAGSCTGGATGGGACTTGGAGCAACCTGGGATAGTGGRAGGTRTCCCTGCCCTGRCRGGSGATRGCASTGGATGGGCTTTAAGGTCCCTTCCAACCCAAACCATTCCATGGTTGTTCTGCCTGTAAATGCCATTTTAATGCAAACACCATTTTGTCAGTAATCCCAGCAATTCRTGTTCCTCTGCAGAGCTGATGCTCTGTATTCTCATGTTGCTATTTCCGTTATCTACAGAGTTTTTCAGCTCTCCAGCAATCATTTTCAAATTATCAAAAGAACAGTAATAGCACTGATTCATCAATAGATTCTGAGAGGACCATTAGATTKCTACTTGCACTGTGATTCCCAGAATTCCATGACTTTGGCAGGTCTGTCCATCTGTATTTTGGACACTGGTGACTCTCCTGGTCACAGTTGCTGTGCGTTATTATGAAAGGACAACATTTTATTGGTAAAATTATCCATCAAGTCTCTAATACCCCACAAGACAATCCATTCTTCATTTTACACGGAAGAGCACCTTTCCATGGAATCGAGATTATTATCCTAGGAATGGCAAGTATCTTTGGGATTACTTCCCAAAAAGTTCAGGCAGAACCAGTTCTAACGCAGATACTAAATGAGACCAAGTAGTTGCCCAACATCAGCACCCAGTTTTTCTGATGCCAGATCTTTGATCCCTCAGCATGAGACATTATTTTTGTGGAGCTTTTTKCTCCTTTACTTCAGTCACAGAATTAATTAATTGCAGATGAGAATATTTGCATAAATGATTCCCACTTCAAATAAAAATCCAAAGGCATATTTTTAATTCCTGGTTTTGTTGCTGTTTTACATCAATACAGTRTTGGATTTGGATATCCCAGAACCACAGAGATATTCCCAAGGTGGAATTTAGCCAATGGCTGCACTTGAGCTGGTTTCCAAAGGGTTAAGGAAAAGGAAGCCTTGATACAAGCCAGAACAACATAAGGTCTGAGAGGCTCATTAGTTCACTGGCGCTTAATAGACTGCGGTGTCCTAGGAGGAAATGAAACCTGCACTTCCTTATGGCTTTGTTCTATCCTGACAAAAGAAAACTGTACCTGTTTTTGCAGGAAACAAAGTGACCTGAAAGTTCCCGTGGTGAGAGAGATTTCTCAGCATGTGCAAAGTGTGAAATGTATTTTTGAGGGGGGAAAAAAAAAAGTTTTTAATTACTACTAACACTTCTGAGCCTTGAGCTGATGGAAGGATTGAAACTGCTTTGCAGTCTCTCACATTCCGCTCCCATGCTGCTGGTGCCAAAWATGTATTTTTTTAAGCAATGCAGCAGATTTAAAATGAAATTATAATTATTGTTAAAAACTCAGGAACATAATTCTGTTATTCCTACTCATGCAAGGAGTAATAGCGTTGTTGAACTGTAGCTTGAATTTCAGAACATGAGCTGCGTGGGATGAGAGCAAGTGTGAAGCAAAAGATTAAAGGTGGCCCAGGTGTGGCCTCTGATCAGAAACTGCCCCAAAAACTGTCAGACTYGGGCAAAAGCTGAGCCAGCTCCTCAGCTGCAAGGTGTGGAGGAATGCTCATGGAAAGAGCTGAGGGACAGCGGGTTTGGCATCAACTGCAGAKGATGCAGACAATGAAAACAAAGGATTTGTGCTCCCTGGGAGTCAGAGCTGGAAATGGAGGTGCTTGTTCTGCTGGCAGCACTTTGTGGGTTTTGTTTCAGCAAGAATTTATGTGCAGCACAGACCACTTCAGGTCTTCTCCTGAAGAACTGCCTGGAGCTGATGATACTGGAAGCTGGGTCTCCAGTTTTAAGCAGCTGGGTTTAAAGCCCTGGATAAAAGAACCTTCATTAATGTAATTAATGAAATACAACAGCAGAGTACCATTCTTCAGGTTCAATACTTTATTTCAACCCTTCACCATATGACCCACAGATCCCAACTTTTCTATCCTTAGCCACCGTTACCACCAATAAAGAAAGATATTAAACTATATACTCTTATTAATTATAGGAAGGTGAACTTGAAGGGGAAATTTATTGCTGGTGATGATTATTACTTGTTCAACATACATGTAGCACAGTAAATAAAGGGGCACATTGTTGGGTGGTAATTGATTAATTAGTATGTTCATACTGGATAGCTCAATGGTTTAAGATTGCTGAGTTTGAAATATTGCTTGCAATTATTGAAAGGAAAACTGTCTCCATTTCTGTTTTCTATATGATCTTCTCTCCCCCCGCCCAAATAGAATGCTTGATGGTTCAAAACCTTAGCTTTTACTTAGAAAAATGGAATATGGGTTGTGATTTTAAAATACTTCCCTTTTAAAAGGTCTGACACTTGAAATGACCACTTTTAGGGAATTCCACCACATAAACCCAACGCAGCTGGGTGCACTTTCTCTGGAGCACTGAGTGCCGTGTCCAGGCCTTCCTTGGACACCTCCAGGGATGGGGACTCCAAACCTCCCTGGGCAGCCCCGATGTCCAAATCAGCCTTTCTGGAAAGAAATTCCTCCTGATGTCCAACCTGCGCCTCCCCTGGCCCAGCTTTAGCCGCTATCCTCCTCCTGTCCCTGTTCCCTGGGAGCACAGCCCCATCCTCCCCGGCTGCCCCCTCCTGTCAGGGAGCTGTGCAGAACCAGAAGCTCCCCCGGAGCCTCCTTTGCTCCAGGCTGAGCCCCTTTCCCAGTTCCTCAGCCGCTCCTGGTGCTCCAGCCCCTCCATGTCCTTCCTGAACTGAGAGGCCCAGACCCGGGGCCGCTGTCCCGCTCTATTCCCGGAGCTTTTCCTGCCCCATTCCCGGGCAATTCCCGCTCCATTCCCGGAGCTTTTCCTGCCCCATCCCCGGGGCGATTTCCACCCCCTTCCCGCTCCATTTCCGGGGCGATTTTCCCACCCGCTTCCACTCCATTCCCGGAGCGTTTCCTGCCCCATTCCCGGGGCAATTCCCGTTCTCTTCCCGCTCCATTCCCGGAGCGTTTCCTGTCCCATTCCCGGGCCAATTCCCGTTCCGTGCCCGCTCCATTCCCGGGGCAATTCCCGTTCTCTTCCCGCTCCGTTCCCGCCCCCGGGCCGCGCAGGCGCGGTGCGGGCGCAGGCGCGGGCCCCGCGGGATGCGGGCTCTGAGGGCGCTGCAGCGGCTGCACGAAGCGGCCGTGTCGCTGGTGCTGTGGCGGGGCTCGGCCCCGGCCCCGGCCCGGCCCGCCGCCTCCGAGGTGTTGAGCCAGCACCTGCGGCAGCGCCGCCTGCCCTACTGGACCTCGTTCTGCGTCAAGTACAGCGCGGTGCGAAACGACCAGTTCGGCCTCTCGCACTTCAACTGGCCCGTGGACGGCGCCAACTACCTGGTCCTGCGCACCGGCTGCTTCCCGTTCATTAAATACCACTGCTCCCGTGCCGCGCCGCAGGACCTGGCGCTGCAGAACGCCGCCTTCACCGCCCTCAAGGTGCTCAACGCCGGTGAGTGCGGCCCGGCCCGGCCGGTGAGGGGCGGGCGGGGCAGCGAGCGCCGGGGCCGGCGGCCTGAGGGGAGCGGGGCCGGGCCGGGTCGGCGGCTCGGACCGGGGAGCTCTGCTCCGCGCCCTCTGCTTCTCCTTCTCTTGCCCTTCTCCCTCTCCTTCTCCCTTTTCTTTTCCTCTCCTCCTTCGCTCTTTCCCCGTCTCTTTCCCTTCTCCTCTGTTTCCCCCTCTCTTTCTCTTCTCCTTCTCTCTTTCCCCCTCTCTTTCTCTTCTTCTCTCTTTCCCCCCCTCTTTCCCTTCTTCTCTCTTTCCCCCCTCTCGTTCCCTTCTCTTTCTCACTTTCCCCCTCTCCTTGTCTCTTTCCCCCTCGCCCACTTTTTCCTCCTCTCCCTCTCATTCTTTCCCCTTCCCTCTCCTTCCTCCTCTCCCTCTCCTCCCCGTCCTCTCTCCTTCTCCCTGTCGGGCTCGGAGCAGGAATTCCCGAGCTGTAACTGCAGGGAAGGGGCAGAGCTGTAAATCGACACTGGCGGGGGGGTTTGGCTGAGTTCGTGTTACTTTGACCGCATGTGACAGCGACAAATCAAACGCTCGGTATTTAAGCGGCTCACGCCTTTGTTAGGGAGCATTTTCCAGCTGAAAATCCCCGTGCCCTGGATGAAGTTTTGTCTTCTGAGCAATTTTGAAGCGAAGCGCTGTTTCACGCAGMGTCTGATGCAGGAATGGTCAGACTGCTTTGATTCTAATGTGCTGCTGAAATATAAATCTTATCATAAAAATTCTTTATCATCYTGTTAATGTAGAAGCAGATAGAGTTAAGTTTTGAAATACTCTATTTCAAAACTTTGGCTGCAGATCCAAAGCTTATTTCAATGCCAGCAGTGACAGTAACATAACATTTCATGCATTCTTGCTTTTCATATTTCATTTTWAAAAATCTCCTTCACTCCACAAGTCTTCATTGACTTTTTTTCAAAACATGTCTGCTGGTCTCAATTTTCTGACATAGTGAGAAAATATAACCATAAAGACTGATTTCTTAGCAGCACCTTTAAATCGGATTTTTCTTATCCCTCCATGCAGTCACACTTTTGTTTTTCTCACAACAGCCCTTCATGTTTCGTATTTAAATCATGGGAAAACACGTTTAAAAAGGCAATTCACTTCCCTCAGAATCCTGCCTAAGTGCTTGGATAGCTTCAAGCACATTAAATTTGGTGTTTCTGAACCTTACTGAATTCAGGGCCTAAATCCATCTCCGGTTTTCCCTCTATAATAAATAAAATATTGTCTGTAATAGTTGGATAAATTTGTAGTGCTAAAAAATACATGACTTTAAATAAACTGTTCTGCCCCTTGCAGTTCTCTTGATTTGGTAGTCTTGAGTGCTGATCTSATTTTCCCCAGAGGAGTTTCATGTTGATCTATGGATTCACTGCCTATTTTGTTTCTTATTTCTGTTCTGACAGACTCCAATAACTAAGTGCATGTCCAGGGAGTTTGGGTTTCGTTTTTGGATATATATATTTATATATATATAATTAGTAGAAATCAGGCTGTCTACATGGCCATGTTTAACT